GTTACCTTCTCCTGCTGCTGCCCCACCTAGATGACTCAATACTAATCAATCACAAGAAAATACTTACAAGCACCAAAAATGTGTGTGCTGCATAGAGAAATAGAACATACCAAAAACTACTCTCAGTCTTTCCTGAACTTTAACTACTCTTTCATCCCCTGACTCTGAGGTCCTCAAATGCTATTCTTGGCCTTGGCTTGTTTCTCAGTATAGATTACTTTATAAAATCCAGTCCCATGGCATTCTACTAATCAATGTATTGCTGCAAATGAAAAATGTAGGGCACAAAATGATGTGTGCTATCCTATATAATAAAGAGGTAACATGCAAAATAACCCTCACAAGATGGCTGCCTATGACCAGGCCAGCAGGCAGGGCGGTTAGTGAGGGATGACCAAACAACTGAACACCAGGCTGTGAGGGGTGACCAGGCCAGCAGGGGAGGCAGTTGGGGGTGACCAGGCCAGCAGGGGAGAGGTTCAGTTTGGGGCAAACAGGCTGGCAGGGGGGTAGTTGGGGATGATTAGGCTGCCAGGGGAGGGGGTGCAGTGAGGGGTGATCAGGCCAGCAGTGGGAAACAGTTAGGGGCAACCAGGCAGGCAGGCAGGTGGCAGGCAGGCAGGCAGGTAAGCGATTAGGAGCCAGTGGTCCAGGATTGTGAGAGGGATATCATCACCACCCCTAACATTCTTGATGTGGCTTTTTCTTTAATTCCCTAGTTGTAGGATTTCCATTCAGCTAGATTTCAGGTGGTTATGGTTGTTCTGTATTGTAGTTGTAATTTTGACCTGGTGTTGGAGGTGACCAATACAGCATTTACTTATGTCACTATTTTGACAGGACATCTGGGCACTTTTGATATATTGATAGAAGAATCTACAATAATATTATGGTGAATTCAAACCCTGTCCACCCATGACATCTTCGGAGATGATACACTCATTTTTTTTTCCTTTTCTGAACTCTTAATGAGTTTGAAGTGACATTAGAGGGTTGTGAGTTCAGGAAATGGATTAGGAGCCTAGAGAAACCCACTGAGCTGGAGGAAGGGAATTTGGAAAATTTACAATAGAGGCCATAGTGAGAACAAAAGTTGTGGGTAAGCTCTACAAGGAGACACCTGACCAAATACAAGAAGGCAGAGAGAGAGAAGCTAGTGCAATGCCAACATTTACAAAGCACAGGCTGAGCCAGTGAGACCAAACAGCAGGCCAAGGTGAGAGATCAAGAGAGAATAATTACATCCAACCTTCCTTTCTCTCAAATAGACTGAACAACAATCCTAAAAGCACTGACAGGTAGTTTACAATCATCTGAAGCCACTGCCCTGCATTTAGGTTTTCCTATTCCTACTCAGGATATTTGTCACAGTTTCTTTATAAAGTGCATTTTTTTTTCAGTGTGCAAATAATAGAAGAAAAGACAACCATAAGATGTTAATATTAATATTTTAAACTGGGAATGGATGGGACAGAAAGAAAGAGAATGTATATGGGGAAATAATATAGCTTAGTAAAGGCTTTTCAATTCCTAGTCTGTGGACAGGAACAGAGTGAGTGGCACCATCTCTGCTCTCTTCAATTGCAAGTCTAGGTGGCAACAGGAAGCTGTTGCTCAATTAGTTCTTGGGAGAGCAAGTTTCTGACACCTTCCCAGATGCCGTTGGTTCTTCCAGGTATAACTCAGTTAATGATAAGATTACATGAAAGGAAATCACTATGCAATTGCAAAAATAAAATATATTTTTAAGAATGATTTCTTAGGATTACAACAGAATGCTTTGCACTCTCCAGCTTTCTTCTTTATAAAGGAAAGTTACACATCTCTAGGCTGTAATTCAATATATCTGCATGAACTGAGAAATAGCAGTCATTACATCATTTCAGACATCGTACCTGGGCAGGTTAATAAAGTACTGCCAAATCTCTTATGATATTAAACTTGCATTGCTGGTTCTTCTTCTTTTGTATTTATTAATAATAATAAACCCAATGAATTGAGCATTCATTAAATGATATTAATATTCCAAACTTTTAAAAAACAGAATGTTTCATTTCACCTTGAATAAAAATTAATTTATGAGATATAATTTTGCAGTTTCTACACATTGTGTATAAAACTTCTAAAGGGACCTGTATGTAGTAGAAAGCATATGAAATTTAGTAAAGATCTGGGTTCAAATACCAACCAGTGTCTTTAGAGGCTCAGTGCACAAATCCGTGCACCTTGACAGGAACTGTGGGCTGCAAGGCTGCCATGAGTACAGGGGCAGGTCTCTACCCATACTCTGTGCCCTCACCTGGCCCCTCCTGCAACGGGCCTGGTCCCCTGTCTGCTGGCAGGCCCACTTCTGCCTCCACTGCTCCCACACTTGGATGGCATCAGTCCTGTTTGTACCCGCTTGTTGGCGAGGAGTGATTGGGGCTGGCGCCAGCAGTGGGTATGAGCGGGGCCAGTGCCGTCAGTGGGTGCAAGTGGTGGCTGCTGCCGCGATCACTCCTCAGGAGCAGGGGGAGATGGAGAAGCCCTCAAGGTTGATCAGGGCTTACAGCACCACTTGCACCTGCTGATAGTGCCAAGTGATAAGGAGCAGTGCTAGATGCTGGCAGTGAGTGCGAGCAACAACTCTGGTGCCAGCTGTGGGCACAAGAGGGGCCAGCTCCGGCAAAGGGTGCAAGCAGGGCTGTCACCAGCAGCAGGTGTGAGAGGCATCTGCCGGCACTGATCACCCCTCAGGAGCAGGGGGAGGTGGAGAAGCCATCAGGGGCAATCAGGGCTGGGAGCTGTGCTGCTCACACCCTCTGCCAGTGCTGAGCGATTGGGGCCAGCACTGGGCACCAGCATCAGGTGCAAGTGGAGGCTCCAGTGCCCAGGCTGTGGGTGCAAGTGGGCCAGCAATGGTAGCAGGTGGGAGCAACAGGCAGGACCACAGCGTGTGGGAGCAAAGAGCTTTCAGTAACTACCAGAGGCTTTCCCTGATGACAGTGACTAGTACCCCATGTTGGTTTGGTGCCCCCACTTACCTGCTCCACCATCCCACCATGGCTGATGCCTTCCATGTTCCAAGCTCTGCAGCATGGTGCTAACACCACCATGATTCACAGCACACATCCTAGTGACTAGTTGTGCAGTTGTTCTGCTGTTTGGTCTATTTGCATATTAGGGTTTTATATATATAGACTAGAGGCCTGGTGCATTAAATTTGTGCATGGGGGGATGGGGATTGTGTACCTCAGCCCAGCCTGCACCCTCTCCAATCTGAGACCCCTCAAGGGATGTCCAACTGCATGTTTAGCAATCAGGCCTAAATAGGCAGTCGGACATTGCTCTCACAATCCAGGACTGCTGGCCCCCAACTGCTTGCCTGCCTGTGTGATTGCCCCTAACTACTTCTGCCTGCCAGCCTGATTACCCTCTAACTGTCCTCCCTTGCCAGCCTGGTCACCCCTAATTGCCCTTTCCTGCAGTCCTGCCCCCCCCCCCCAACTGCCCTCCCTTGACGGCCTGATCACCCACAACTGCCTCCCCTGATGACCATCTTGTGGCGGCCATCTTGTGTTCACATGGGGACAGCCATCTTTGGCCACATGGGGGTAGCCATCTCATGTGTTGGAGTGATGGTCAATTTTCATATTACCTCTTTATTATATAGGATACTCTTGGGCAGTCTGCTTAACATGTCTGAGGCACCACTGGCAAGGCTCAGTGGTTGGGTATTAACCTATGAATCAGGAGTTCATGGCTTGGATCCCAGTCAGGGGACATGCCTGAGTTGCAGGTTTGATCCCCAGTGTGGGCATTCAGGAAGCAGATCAATGATTCTCTGTCATCCTTGATGTTTCTATCTCTATTTCCTCTCTTCCTGTCTGAAATCAATAAAAAATATATTTGAAAAAAGCATGTCTGAGTTTGTTTCCTTATTTGGAAAATAAAGATGGACAATATCTATGTCATACCATTATTTTGTATATTAAGTCATACAATGGAAGTTGTTTGAAAATGTATGTTTTAGCCGAAACCGGTTTGGCTCAGTGGTAGAGCGTCGGTCTGCGGACTGAAGGGTCCCAGGTTCGATTCCGGCCAAGGGCATGTACATTGGTTGCGGGCACATCCCCAGTAGGGGGTGTGCAAGAGGCAGCTGGTCGATGTTTCTCTCTCATCAACGGTTCAAGCTCTCTATCTCTCTCCCTTCCTCTCTGTAAAAAATCAATAAAATATATATTTTTTAAAAAGAAAATGTACGTTTTAATTATATTTATGTTTCATCACTTCTAGCTTGACATCACTCATTTCTTTATTCATTTAGTAACTATATATATATGTGTGTGTGTGTGTATGTATATATATGTATATATATACACAAATGTATATATATTTAGTATAAACCAATATAATAAAAGACTAATATGCAAATAGACCGAATGGCTGAATGATCATTGGAGTAACTGGTTGCTATGATATGCACTGACCACCAGGGGGCAGATGTTCAAAGTAGGAGCTGTCCCCAGCCCAAGGCCCCAAGCAGGCCAAGGTGGGTGCAAGGGAGGGAGGGGGGAGAGAGGCGCCGGGAAGGGGGGGGGGGGCAATTGCCCTGCTGGTCACCCCACAGAGGGAGGCAACTGGCAGTGGCGGCAGGGGGTGGGGTTGGCTAGTGAGTGGGCAGTGGCGAGGGGCAGGGCTGGCCAGCAAGTGGGCTGGCACCACTCCCCAATGGCATCCCACAGAGGGAGGCAACCAGCAGCCATGGCAGGGGATGGGACTAGTGAGCTAGCAGTACCAGACCAGCCAAGGTGGATGCCAGCAGTCTCCCCCCACCAGTCACCCCCCAGGTTGGCCCTGATCGCTGCCAGGCCTAGAGACCCTACCCATGCCCGAATTTCATTTATCGGGCCTCTAGTATGTGTGTGTGTGTGTGTGTGTGTGTGTGTGTGTGTGTATGCGCGCGCGCGCGTATCCTTTTAGACTGTGGAATACAAAATTAAAGTATAAAGGGTCAGCAGTTTGAAAAAATGTGGCAGGCTCAGAGAAGTGAGAAATGAGACCTAAGGGGGCACCAAGCCCTGGTCTCAACATAGATGAAAGCAACTTAATAGGTAAGATATTATTTATGCTATGCTTTACTTGCATGTGGATAATCTTGTAAAGCTCTATGTAAAAGGAAAGAAAATGATATGATTCTTTCAACCACTGGAAAACAATGACATTGCTATGAGAAAAAATATTTTTACAGGATTTATCTACTAATGAATATGCAATGCAGTTCTTATTAGATAAATGGTTAGTCTTTTTCTTTAGAAAGTTATGCTTGACATATTTCATGAAATATCCATGTTTTGCTTTACAAAATATACATAAAAGCTAAAATAACATTTAAGCAACCAAACATTTTTTACTGTTTACCTTCTGGTTTCCCTTGCTTTGGACTATAATATCTGAGGTTCCATATTTAAGTCTATGAATTTATTAAAGAGAAACAACTTATTTTGCCCTAAGGAGAAATTCCTATGTGTTTTTTTTTGTTTTGTTTTGTTTTGTTTCTCCAAATGGCAATAATGGATTCTAGATGCCTTGTAGCTGGGAAGATATTCTGTCAAATCCCTTGTCAAAGGCATTTTTTTTTTCACCCTTAAATTCCTGTCTTAGGAAAGTATCCCTATGCCTCAACTCCTCCTCCTCTCCTTTTCAGCCCTTTCCCCCTTCCCTCCCCATCCTCCCATTTTCCAAGATTATATATTTCAGCATCTGTGCTTGACTCAGGTGCAGGGAAAGGTCAAGAGATGTTATCATTAAAAGAAGAATATGAGAAATAGTTTCAATGCTTTTGGCATGCATACTTTCTGATATATGTTATATACTTCTGCTATGTGGACTTGTTCCAAATGAGTCCGTTTAGATGGCTACACTAATTTTTTAAGAGTAGGCATGTGGCAAATCAAAACAAACAAAAATTCTGCTGGGTAAGTATGTAAATACTCGTTATTGGACTCAGTGGTAAAATTTATTGTGGAACATTTCATTCAGATAAAAGTAACAACAAAATTTATAATAATTATAAATTCTATGAGAAGTGATCCATTTGTTCAGCAAGATTTATTAGAATTCTACTGAAAGTTTTTTTCTTAGTACTTTCCTTGCCAATTGCAGCGAGTTCCCTAATGTATAGATGTTAGTTAACAGAATTGAAATTGTGAACCAAACCAGATGATTTCCTTTTAATCTCCTGGTAAAATGGCTAACTCTGCTGTTGGATATTTTCAAAACACTAGATTATTGGAGAACATGCGCAAGTGAAAACTGTGTAAGTGTCCAGTAAAAATGAGTATAATATAAAGTGTTGCCCTGACCAGTGTGGGCATTGTCCTGTGCACAAAAGATTGCTGGTTCAATTCCAGGTCAGGATACTTGCGGTTTCTGGTGTGATCCCCGATTGGGTGCATGCAAGAGGCAGCCAATTGATGTTTTGTTCTCACATCAATGCTTCTCTTTTTCAATCTCTCTTCTTTTCTCTCTCTCTAAAAGGTCAATAAAAATATAAAAAATAAAATGTTATTGCTGAGAAGACTTTTTAAAAACTTATAAGTGCATTGCCCTACATATCCAGTGGGATTTTATTTGTGTGGTTTTTTTGTTATTGTTGTTTTAGAAAAGCAGGCATTTAAAATTAAGAATTTGCTATCCCAGTGAAAATTTTCATTATGATGTAATATGAATAAATGCTTATTTTATTAATTTAAAAATTCACATGAACACAATAAATGGATGCCAACAACTGCATTGATTATAACCATTTTTATGTCCTTTAGGCATCCTGATTTGGGATCAGTAATCTGAGAACCTTTTCTTACAATCTGCTTTGGCTTCATGTTAAATATTTTCGAATATGCCGCTGCTGATCCTTGGCAGAGCATCCTTCCCTCCTTCCCATCCTGATAATCTCCTATTATGCATTCCAGAACAAACTTTCTAAATTCTCACTTTTATCTAATTTGTTGCTTTCCATGATACTCCACAGCAAATTTTCAGCTATCAGGTAGCTGAATTCTAACCAAGGACATCCAAGTTGGTGTCCTCTAACATAAGCTTGCATTGCTGCTTTATACCTAATAATTGAGATGCTGAAAACAATAGTTGTGTCTTTTATAATCATAGCTCCTGGTAGTATACTCTGTGTAGAAGTCACACAACTAGGAGATGTATGCAGCAAAGAATCAGGGTTTTCCTAAATGAACCTAACCACAGCACCAGTACACATTGCTTCTCTCTCTCTCCAGCCAAGCTACACTCATCTCTTCTCAGATGCCTTCTACAAGTGATCCTTGCTGCTAGAAATTTTTTTCTCTCACTATTCTTTCAGCATTTATAAACTCAGTTTATAGATCATTAATTTGTAATTTTAGGTGAATTTTGTTATTTTTAAAAATATTATCAAAACTATGAATTTTATGCATCAGGTTATATTTTCACTTAATTATAAAAAAAAGAGACTGAGTTCTCTCTTTTTATTTTTTAATTTCTATAACCTGTAAACAAAAGTATGTGCAAAATAAAATAGGTGTTTGGCAGATACAATTAATTTACCACTCATTAATCATAGTGTTTAGATGAGCATGTGTGCAACTGCCTAACAAATACTACATCTCATTTAGAAATCAACTACATTTACTAATTTTATACTAGTACTCATCATTGTATCTAATATCTTCACCTATGTAACTTTTCAAGTCTGATAATGACGAACAACAAGAGTGGCTTATATGTCTTCATAATATACACAATGTACAACTAAATAGCCCAGAGTTTTAGTAACGAGTCTTCAAAGCAATGCAACTGGTAAAGTCATGCTTTATATATGTTGTTTATACTGTTCTCCACATAGTTTGAGAAGTTAAACCACCAGAAGTATAATAGAAAATGTATCTCACATTTTCATTACCTAACAATGAATCAGGAATTATATTTTGTATCTTGAAAAGGCATTCTTGCTTCAAACAAAACTTAAAAATTTATATCTACTCATAAAAATTTAAACAAATGCTAGAGTTTAAAAAATGACCTAACAGCTGTTGCTCAGACAGATGTGATGTAAAAGCTAAAGAAACATTATTCAGTTATTCAGGAATAGGACCCGAAAACCCTGCTATTTTGGTACAGAAGAGTTGATTTATTTCCTTGTTTCTAAACCAGGCCTTCCAGAAGTTAGAAAAGAAGAGAGCCATATTGAAAACCTAAATTAATACATGCAATGAAATGTAAGATAGTTCATATTTCTATTAATATGAACTAATATACCAATTTCTGAAAGATATACAGGCTTTTTAGATATTAAAGCAGTTAAAATTGCCATACCATTATGAACAGTCATGTAATTTTCTTATGAGATATAAAACAAAAACAAACACATTCTTTTTTTGTCTTTTTTTCTTTTTCTTTTTTCTTTTCTTTTTTTTTTTTAGAAATAGGGATGAAGATAGAAACCAGGGAAAAACTGTAATATAATAAGAGACCAAATTTGAAGTCCTAATATTTTTTCTTTCAGCCAGAAGATGTGTAGCACCAACCAGAGCCACGTTGGTGCACACACTACAGAATGCGTGAGGAGTTTCCCCAGGATGTGCGGTGCTGTGTGAGCGATGCCCACCACTTTGCCCCTGCTCACTCTCTGTGCTCCAACCACACCAGCTGCTTTCCAATCCTGGCTCTGACTCAAGTGCTTTTCTAATTCTGAGATTTTGCATGTGCTGCTTCCACTGCCTTAAATGCTTTTCCTAATCTTTTCTTCTAAGGAATTTATAATACATCCTACAACTTAGCTCAAATGCTATTCCTCAAGGAAGCATTCATCAACTTTCCAGATGCTGTCAGTCCCCTTGTTACATTCCTATTGCATCACTTCTTCACCTACATTGCACTTTCCATAACTTTTATTAAGTAATTAAATGTGTGATGTGTGGTATAAAATCAATCCACACCCAAGACTGCAAGTTTTATGAGCACTCTTGCTTTTTTGGCAACACCCACAAAACCTAGCAAAGTGCCTTGCTGAAAAGAGCACTCACTATATTAATACATATACTTAACTTCTCCTCTCTCCTGCTTTCCCATTTTCCTATACTTTAAACTTGATTCTCTGGCCTTCAATTAAATTAATGCCTGAGAAGCTGGGCTTTGGCAGAAAGTGGGGCAAGATGTACCTCACACTCAAGAAGAGACCATTGGACTTCACAAAATGGCTCCCATAAGAAATGACCCCTAGGAGTCTGATTTCCAGTCTGTTATTCCCTTTGGTCTGGTTTCACCATCTCCACTGAGAAAAAACAACAGGATCTTCTTACATTTCTTTGGGGAATTTCACAAGTCTATTTCCACAGCTGACAATCACTCTATCTGGACTGAGTAAAATTTTTAACAAAAGTGCAATATTTCACAACAGCTGAAATAATTTTCTGTCAGAGACTTTTAAATTCAAAGTGTGTTTTCTCTGTATGTAAAGGTTTATATGTATAATGTGACATGAATTTAGCACTCAAATATACACAAACAGAAAATATATTTTAATTAATACTAATGATAATAATTACTATTGACTCTAAAGTAAGCAAATCCATATTTGTTTTCATGTGAAGTGTGTTACTTGAGAATATCTGAAAACATTTGCTAAAGAACTGTGTACAGTACAGAGTCTCATCAAAATCCATCTGTCTGAATCTATTAACTGGCTTTCCCCAGCCAGGCATTCCTGAGGCCTGCATAACAAAAGCTCCTTATGCCATTGTGAGGGCTGATACCCAACTTAGAAACTAGGTTAATTTTATCTAGTAATTAAAAGTTCTAAATAGACTTTGTAAATGTGTATATTTATAAACCAGCTATATCAAACACAAAAACAGAAGCTGATGATGAATAGGGAATTAGAGTTTCAGATTCAAAGTCATGGTCATCATCAAGACTGTTGTTATAAAAATCCTACAAAACTTATTCACAAAAACATCTTGAAAATACCCATGTACATTATCAAAGAAAGGGTTATTTAGTGTTTTATCACTTTCTGACCCCCTATTTAACTTAATTACTTTATATTTTTTACTCAATGTTGATGAATAAATATTATGTGATTTTTGTAATTTGTATGTTTTCAAGGGATTAAGATACTATTTAGATTACTAAAATTAAAAACACACACCTCTAGTTTCATCTTTTAAAAAGGTTCAATGTGCCTTATAAGAACACTGATGTGCTAATAAATACTTGCAAATTATAATACTTGCATATGTTGATCTTCTATATCTATGTCAAATTTATCCCTAAAAATTTCCTTTCTGAGAGTGGGTGCTGATACTTCAGTCTCTGCAATAGATGTCATTCCTACAGGCCCTGGATCTGTTTTGCTGCTACTAATTTTTTCTCCCTTGTATATGAAAAGCATATGAGGTGTATCAAAAGCATATGAGGTATATCATATACAAATTTCTTCTCTTTTTAAGAAGTAAACTGGAAGGATTCTGAACCTACACATCAAACAAGTTTGTTAGTATCATAGGCCATTTGTCATTCTCTCTGAAAGCATCATGAGCACAACTGTGCTTTTAGAGCAATGCACACTACTTCCTTCCTACTGATACTGAATAGTGTAGGTGCAACTGAATTCTTATTTCAGCCTTCATCAAACCATCAAAAAGCTAATACATCAGGCCTCAGTTGCTTCAGAAGAAAAAAGGATAAGGGCTTTTCCCAAACACTCTGCTCAACAGTTCTGTCCACAGATACTGCCTAAGTATCTGTGGACAGATACATAGAGAGAGAAAAAAATGAATAAAGACAATAAATATAAAATCCTGGTATAATCTATCATTTTAATCTTTTTTTTTTCACAAAACCTTTTTATGTGAAGTACTTTAAAAGTTTTTATTTTAATCTCCTTCTCTTACACATCCATTATAGGTTGGATTAAACGTTCCAAATGTTACATGTCCACAGGACAGAAAAGGAATGGGGAAAAGGAACCAAAAATGCATAAATAGCCACCTGAATTCATCATCAGTCCTATAAAGTCTTAACAGAGTCTCTTTTATCGACAGCAAAAAAAAAAAGTAAAACTGTGTAATTCATTAACTCATGGCAAATCCAAAGGAGATTTATTCCCACCTTCACCTCCTCCAAAAAGTGCTTTATGTCAATGGGATTTAATAGAAAAGCTTCCTTTCATAACAACTATGAAAACATAGTATGTATGTATAAAATCATTTAATATGGGTAAAATGAATAAACAGGAAATCCCGGCACCCCCACCTGGTATTACTTTAGCTGCTCCATAAGTTGGGAGAATCCTATCAAGTCAGAGCTTTTGTGAGAACTTTTTTAACCACTCAAATGCCCCTTTTGTACACTAAAGTTTTACAAAGAGGTCATCAGGATAAGAAGCTAAATATGAAATGGAATTTTATGTTGTTGTATCTCAAGAAAATAACGTAAACCAGACACAATACCATATGAATTGAGCCCTGTTCTTAAACCAGTCTTTGGTTTTCTTCCAAAGACATTTAGGGAAAGGAAACTATATTTCAATCTTCTGTGATAAAATGGGTTTTTCAAAGTGGATCCCACAGATCAACAGCCTCACAGTTCTCAAGAAAGAATCTTAAAAATGCAAGTTCCTATCCAATATGACTTTCTAATCAGTAGGTTCTCAATGGCATATATTGAAAAAGCACTTGAGGTGATTTTTTTATACTTACATTTTGAGAATTAATTACACACTTTGTCTAAATGCTTTCACATATGGCATATTATTTAGTAGTCCAATAACACTCAAGTGGTGATGTGTATGATTTCATTCACATGTTCATTTTCTAACTAAGCAAAAATAGCTGTGCTTTTCTCCTATCAATGATGCTTAATGGTTGAGTCCATGAGCCTAAGGGAAGATAGCTCTGACTATGAGACTTTGCTTAATTCCTAATTTTCTATAAGAATTAGTTGTATAACATGAAAAATGAATATAATAATGAACTAGGCCTGTTTTAAGTATTAAATACAAATTTGTGTGCCTGGTACATGTTTAGCACTCAAAATGTTACAATAGTTATAATTTTCCTTGAAAAAAAAATGACCCATCTATGATCAAAATATTTCTGCAATCTTAGAATGCTGCATTAGATATGTGATTATAAAGCAACTTTACCATTTAAAAATACCTATAATAGCCACATATCTGCTGTCTCCATTAAAAAATTCTCTTGGAAGACCACATTTATTTCTGAAAACACTGGCTTGCCTGCTTGAAATATTTTCAAAATACTTTTATAAGTACACTTTAAAAGTATGTAGTGGCTCTCTCTAGCCAGGTTGGCTCAGTGAATAGAGTGTCATCGGCCTGCAGACTGAAGGGTCATGGGTTTGATTCTGGTGAAGGGCATATGCCTGGGTTGTGGGCTGGATCCCCAGTAGGGGGCATGCAGGAGGCAGCTGATCAATGATTCTCTTTCATCATTGATATTTCTATCTTTTTCTCCTCCCTTCATCTCCAAAATCAATAAAAAATATATATATTTTTAAAAAGCAGGTAGTGGTTATCTTTGGGTGTTTTTTATAATTAACATGTTATCTCCATAATCAACATGTTAGTTTTATAATTATAAGTAAGTAAATAAAAAATGTAAATGGGAAAAATTGTCCTTTCAAGTATATACCAGTGGTGCCATTTTTATTTTTATTTTTTTCACTTTGAGAATGGATTTACACTTTGAAATAGTTAAGTGTTTTACATTTTTTTAAAATATATATATTTTATTGATTTTTATTACAGAGAGGAAAGGAGAGAGAGAGAGAGCTAGAAACGTCGATGAGAGAGAAACATCGACCAGCTGCCTCTTGCACACCCCCTACCGGGGATATGCCCACAACCAAGGTACATGCCCTTGACCGGAATCGAACCTGGGATCTTTCAGTGCGCAGACCGACGCTCTACCGCTGAGCGAAACCGGTTTTGGCAAGTGTTTTAAAATTTGATGAAAAAGGTTTACTGTTTTCCTTTGGGGATTCACAACTGACATCCAACCCAAAAGGAGTGAGACTCATTTTTTTGTACGGTTCATGAGCTGGCAATTTGCATGAAGGGATTCAAGCATTGGTAGGTTAGGGGGTAGGCCACTAATGACAATATAATTTATATGTATTTCAGTACATTTTTCAAAATCTATCTTATTTTGGTCTAACCATAACTAAACATTACATATTGCTTATTTTTCATATACAGGCTCTCTACAGGCTTTCTTGAATTAGTATACTTAACTTAGTGTGTAGAAATATTTTTCCTACTATAAAGGTATCTATCTATGATTTCTAGATTAAGCAGTAGCCAAGTATAATGATGATAGGGAATGTGATGTGACATTCAGTTTTCTCTATTCCAGGAGTGGTGAGCCAAGGCATTAGGGGTGAGTTAATTAAATGTTTGATCAAATATAGCAGGCCAACTTTTAAGCTGATAATTTTATATGACCCTTGAATGATGTTATAAATATCTAAATGCCCTTGGCAGAAGAAAGGTTCCCCACCCCTGCTTTAACACCAATATATATAGAGAGGCTTGAGGGCTCCTAGACCTGATTTTAATCTTTGCTTTGGAATACTCCCTAGCTCTGTGAGCCTGTGCCAAAAATCATGCACATTTTAGAGTCTAAATGTCTTAATTATAAAATAAGGATATTAATACTACTAAACCTACATGTCATTAGGATGAAATAAAATAATGCATGTAAAGTGCTGAGCACAGTCTCTGGCTCATGGTAAGTGCTCAGTCACTGTAGCTGTTATCAGTTTTGCTGGGTTCTCCATGTTGGGGAGCAATGGCTTCAAGCAGAGTAGAAAATAGTTTAATCTTTTTGAAAGGTTGACCAAGAAAGGGTAAGAGAAACAGGGCTAAGGGATAGATGGGAAGTTTTTTTTAAGTTCTCACTTCCCTTGAGGTCAGAAGTATAGTATTAATATTTCCTACATTCCAGATAGGGAACTTGGCTCATAGCAAGATTTCTAAAAGTGCCAGTAAGTTATCAGTGGAGGTAGGAATCAAATTCAGCATTGTTTTCAGTTGAGTTCTCCAACAGTTCACAGCCTTTCATATGTAGATGATTTGTTATGCAATAATTTAATTCAATGCTTTTCATAAAGAATGCCACAGAGCAGTTGCTTCATGTGGTGACATGTTGTTGCCCTGGTGACATTTAAATAGCCCTCCCTCAGGCGATCACAGATATCTGAGGATTCCAAAGAGCAACTCCATGTGAACAAAAGGGTAAGTGTTACAATGCAGCTGTTCAGTGGAGATTCTCAAGTTGTACACCATGAATTAGTACTTTTCTTCGGACTCTTCCCCCCACCCCACCCTGCTTCTAGTCAGTGTGTTAGATATATAAATCCAGCTTTTCATAAGAGTCTAAGCTTATGCTTAATCAAAGAACTCAACTTTTTTAATGAAAATTTGTAAGACCTTTTAAACTATTGACCTAAAACCATTCTGTATGAATATTAAAGTCAGAAAATTATAACATTTCTTACCAGAATTATAAGAAGTCATAAATTCTTATAAGTTGCTTGAAAGGATTTTATCATATTTATCTCTGTGTTCCCAGAACCTGATAGGTAATATTGCATAAAGTAGTCATTAATAAATGCTTATGAATGAACTAGTAGCCCACTGCATGAAATTCGTGCATGTGGGTGTGTGTTTCTTAGCCTGGCCTGCATCCTCTCCAATCTGAGACTCCTGTGGGATTGGGCCTAAACTGGCAATTAGACAACTCCTTTGCAATCTGAGACTGCTGGCTCCTAACCACTCACCTGCTTGCCTGCTTGATCACCCCTACCCACTCTTCCTGCTGGCCTGATTGCCCCCAACTGCATCCCCTGCCAGCCTGCTCACCTCCAACTGGTCCCCTCTGCCGGTCAAGGACTGTTGGGGACTGGTTGACCTGGCTCCCCTGGCCAGACAGCCTGGCCAGAAAACAAATGTGCCAAGCAGAAGTGAATAACCTTCACTACTTAACTTTTTAATTTTTTATTGTTTACTTTAAAAACTAATTTTTTTTTGAAATCTCTTCTGGAATAGCCGGATCTACCACAGAGACAGCGCCATCTTGAAGGGAAGACTGGCTGTGATCGGAAGGACAGCCTTACCTTCAACTGGGGAGACCTTAGATACCTCCCAGGACCCTACAACTACAATGCCCAGGGACCAGCTGCCTCAGCTTCAAACCCACAAACACCAATACTCTAGCCTCCCTGACCACAGGTGCCTAAAAAGTCTGTCCATGGGGAGATAAAGGGGTGCTGAATACTCAGATGGACCCTGAACTTTCTCACAGAACAGATAGAAGGAACAGCTGAATCAAACAACATCCACTTGGAATTGGTGAATTAAACACAGCTGGTGAGGCAATCTGTGGATGAAAAGGTCAGATATTGCCTATAGCAGTGTTTCCCAACCTTCTCTCATGATGAGAATCACCTGGTGGAGTTGTTAAAACACAGATTCCTGAATCCCAACTAAGAAGTGCTAAACTAGAACTTTTGAGAACATATAGGTAAAATTGCATACCTAACTTAGTGCTCTGTATATAAAATCTGTCTTAGAGCACTAGTTAAGTATACAATTTTACCTATATGTTCCCAAAAATTCTAGTTTAGCACTTCTTAGTTGGGATTCAGGAATCTGTGTTTTAACAACTCCACCAGGTGATTCTCATCATGAGAGAAGGTTGGGAAACACTGGCCTATAGGAAGGTGACATCTGGGATTCAGGAAGGGAGAAACACACACAGCAAGGACTAGAGTCTCAGAGGGAGACTGAGCCCCACAATATCTGTGGCCATTGGGATCAGTGTAGCCCTCAAATGTGAAAGGGAACCCCAAGGTTGCTGGCAGAAGAGGGTCCATAACTGGGCTGGGCCCAGAAAGGCAGCCTGAAGTTCTATACTGCTTGCACAGTGCCAGGGGGAAAGAGTCGGCACGGTTCTTTTTACCTTCTTACTTTGTACCTCCTTACTTTTAAAATAAGCTCTTTCAATTAAAAATACTCACCAAGACGGCAGGGGAAAGTTGATTTTCTGGAAACTGGGGATCAGAATAAGGAGAGACAAGCAGGAAAACAACTCTGAGGCAGTCTGTCCCTCCAACCCAGAATTAAGTGTGACAGGGGGAAAAAACTTAAACACTGGGTAAAGGGGCCATTTACTCATAGATATTAATACAAAAACACTGCCACCCATAGATTGTGTCAGAAATTGACTCTTGTGTAAGTACAACTGAAGGCAGGCTGAGAACCAAAGCGAGCAGAGAGATCCCAATTGCTTGAAAACAAGGTTGTGGCTTATGACACAGATAAGTGGTGGATCACAGGGAACTTCAATACTGTGATGACTACCTGATAGAAAACAAATGTGCCAAGCAGAAGTGAATAACCTTCACTACTTAACTTTTTAATTTTTTATTGTTTACTTAAAAAACTAATTTTTTTTCTCACTTGCTTTTACTTATATGATTATTTTACTAGAGGCCCCATGCACAAAATTGATGCACGGGGGTGTGTCTCCCTCAGTCCAGTTTGTACCGTCTCCAAACTGAGACCCCTCACAATCCAGGACTGCTGGCTCCTAACTACTCACATGCTTGCCTGCCTGATTTCTCCTAACTGCTTCTGCCTGCCAGCCTGATCAACCCCTAAGCACTCCCCTGCAAGCCTGATCAAAGCCTAACTGCTCCCCTACCAGACCGATTGCCCCTAACTGCCCTCCCCCAACTGCCCACCCGCCCTGTTAGCAAGGTCAATCCTAACTGTCCTCCACTGCCAGCCTGGTGACCCCTAACTGTCCTCCCCTGCAGGACAGGTTGCCCCAACTGCCTTCCCCTGCTGACCTGGTCCCCAACAACTGCCCTCCCCTGAAGGCCTGGTCCCCCACCAACTTCCCCCTCCTGCAGGCCTGATTACCCCCAACTGCCCTCTTTGACAACATGGGGATGGCCATTGGGAGTAATGGTCAATTTGCATATTACCTCTTTATTATATAGAATTTTTATTTTAATTAATATTACTACTGTTATTTTACCTTTGTTTAAAGTTTTACTTTATTTTACTTATTCCTTATTTTATTTTATTTTGAGATTAGTGTTCTACATTTTATTATTTTTCTTTTCTTTTAGCATTATTTTATTCTATCTCAAATTTTCCTTGATGCCAAGACTTTCTTCCTCACTTTCCACCTTTTTCATCCTGTTTCTCTTACCCTGTTCCTGCTCTAGTTTTTCTCTATTCTTTCTTTTTACTCCCTGTTAAAAATTGATCTTACTCATATATCTAATATCATATATCTACCCTGCTCCAAGTCCATGCACACTTCTCTCTTCTCTTGCTTCACTATCAATTTTTCT